GTGCCTTCGTGCATTGGTATGTAGGCGAAGGCATGGAAGAGGGTGAGTTTTCGGAGGCTCGTGAAGATCTGGCGGCTTTGGAGAAAGACTATGAAGAAGTTGGAATAGATACCGTGGATCAGAATGCCGATAACTCTGATGATTTTTAATTATAGCTCTATAAAAGCATTTAACTACGCATATTTTTCTCCACTTTCCTCTCTTTCTGTGTTAGCTGCATTTGGTTTTCATGCAGTTTTCCCTCAACTCGGTGCGCTATATGCTCGAGAAGCCTTCACGCATGCAGGTAGTTGTGATTGCGCATATCTCAGGAGCATAAAGGATGCCTCTGTCCGCTTAATACCACGGAAGCTCATATCGATTTATGGCGGCATTTTTTAGTCTACGTGATACTGGTTTACGCCTATACTCGTTTCGACATGTGGCGAGGCAGCCAATTGCGAGTTTATCTTATTTCTTGGTGATTATTAGGCGACCAACCTCACCATACGCTGCATCTGTCAGGTTAACGATCGTATCGACGAATTCAACTTCAGAGATGGGAGAAGGTTGGTTTTGTCTGATTACCATAGAGTAACGTGTTCAGAAGTCATCCCGCTGTATATTCTCACGGCTGGCTTGTGAACTATGTCCAACCTCGGCACATCTAGTATCGTCAGTGCGGTGTTTCCTCACAAGACAATACTGGTTTAGCTCCTAGTTTCCCTAACTCGCACAAGGCGAGTACAATTCGGCAACCCTACCGGGGCCACTGCGTCAAGACAAGGCTTGGTGTCGTGTGTGCGGTAGCCCCAAAATTCACATAAATCTGTCTGCATCGGCCTTGCGTTAGGCAAATCGCTTTAAATAGTTGAATTGTATGTTAGTTTCGGTCAATACCACTTAGCCTCATGAGATTATCTCTTTTCCCCATGTCCGGAATCTTACGCCGCGGTCCTTAAACTACATATCTTTATCTAATATGATGTCGGTACCTAAATCTAAGCGGTAATTAGTTCGCACAGTGCGAAGTTGACGCCACTGGCCCACTTAAGCATTCTCCGATCGAGATAGTCAAACACAAAAATTGAGTTCAGCGCGCAACTTATCCGCTTTAGTTTTAGCATTAAAATAGTCTGCTCTTGCCTGTTTTTATCCTCTTATTTTTCAAAATTGATATAAGTCAAATATTCTATTAATTAATTGTGGCATTTGCTTCATGCTTCTCACCCATTGAGCACATTTCGCAATGTGAAACTAATTTTCCACTCATACCTTAACTTTTCTACCCTTGTATAAAAGTTCTTATCCATCTATTTATCGATAATTAATGAAATATCATCATTACATATAAATAAATTTATTTTAGGACAGACCTAAAATGTGGCTAGTCTGACTGAGCAGATACGACGTAAGTCGTAGATAACGTCATACTGAACACACATTTTTCTTCAGAATTTATTGTCGAGGGGAATATGAAATTGTCATTAAATAGGATATACTTTTTTGGT